ATATATATTTTATAAAAAACATATATAAAATTTTTTTAAATAAACAGATTTTTTTTATCAAATCTTCATTAAAATCTAATTTAAAAAAATACCCTCTACAAAAAAAGATCTTAAATCTGATTATAAATCTGATCTTAAATCTTAGATCTGGAATTTTAATCTGACCAGATTAAAATTATATCTACTCAAATATACTTAGATATAACTTTCCATATCTATGCAGATTTGATCACATATGTTCATATGTAACCATATATGGAGCATAATCTGACCTTTGTCTTATGTCTGCTCAGATCTGGTCACATATGTTTCATATATAATTATATATAAAGTGTACATCTATTGATCAGATATGTCATATATGTGCATTAACTATCTGTACATTAACATTCAGTTTGTGGAATCAAAATATCAATCCCTATATAAAAGTAAAGATCAAGTAGATAGATGCAATACAGCTCAGAATGGATGACCGCTTGAGAGCACAATATAAAATTAATTCCCGAATTCAAACAGGAAAAAATTTTTTTTAATCATAATTTTATCATGTGCAGTGTGGAATATGATATTAATCAATAATATTCATTTTAGCAATGAAATTGAATTAATATTATATGAAACATTTTTTATTGAGATTGTATCTTATTATATCTATTCAGATTTGGCCAGGTAAAGACAGTTTACAGATCTGGTCAGATCTATTGAAATCAATATGATCGTATCTCGGTTTTAATTCTTTTTTTGCAGATTTAATTCTTTTTTTGCAGGTATCAGGTGCAATATTCTTCATTTTATAATATAAAGTTTTATATAAAGTTATTAAAAAAAGAATTATATAACAAAGCAATAAATATAAAGTGTATTTAAAACTATATGTACCAGAAAAAATTAGATTCTTGGACTGATATTCATTGTTAGTTCTTATATTTAAGACTGTCTTGAATAGAATCTTTCGATATCATAAGTCGATCACAAAACAATATTAGCATTTTAAGACATTAGTTAAGATGATCTTGAAAAAAGAACAAAACTAAGAATACAGCCTTTACTCTCATATATATTCATAGATATATATGTTAATCACATATGGAATTGTAAATAGAAGAATTCGTCAAAGAACTTTTCTATATATTGGCAGAGTTCTACAGAAGAGGATTTTTATCAAAGAAGACAAGAACAGAGAAGAGATGAAAAATTTAAATGTATATAGGACCAACTGGTGTGTGTATGTGCCATCTGTGTAACACATGTTCATACATGACACTGGAAACATCATATTCTATCTCCGCAAACCAAAGGCTGCAAATATATAGGGAAGCTAGATGCTCGCGATCGGAACGAGTTTTTCCTTGAGGAAAAACTTGAGCGGGAAAAATTTGCTCCGTGGTATATACATAGAATTAAAATCGGAAATAGAGCCAAGATGCCGACAAACACGTGGACCGGAGACGTTGAGTCATGCCGAAAACGCGTTAAAAGTAAACTCACCCTTCGATATAACTGCGGTCAGAGAGGTAAGTGTTGAGGTCCTCAATACCCTTATCAGTCTTCAGGTCACCGACAGCCATGGCGAGGTGTTCTGGGTGAGTAAATAGTTGACCGTAAGTTCAACGAGACAGTAACAGAGAGACCTCTTCGTCTGATCGCCGAAAGAGAGGGC